CAAACAAACAAACAAACAAATATAGGTTCCTGCACCTTTTCCCTTAATGTAAACATTTCACTTGTCTAAAGTAAAAACAGAATAAAATTATTATTGTCAAGACCGGACTAAGATATTACCTTGTTGTAAGACTACAGATATCTGTTGACATACCTAGATTAGAATAACAGAACCACGTTTGGAAATAATCGAAACAGACAAATGATAGATGACGCTCTGACGAGTGGTCTGTAATCCTGGAGGTTTGAAGATTTTCAAGAAGATGTTTTAAGAATATTTTCTTACCAGCAGACAAGAGCAGCTTATGTGGTGTTTTTGTTTTCTAAATTTTATCACGAAATAAAAATAACGTATGATGTAACTTAATCTTGTCTCCTATATATTTATGTTTGTTTATTTGTTCTGGAAATTCGAGAGCTACACAAGAGCTACCTGCTCTAGTCTTCCATAATTCAGAAGTAAGACAACTAGTCAACAGCACCACTCGCCGCCAACTCTTGGAGTACTCTAATCAAATAGTAAGATTTAACAATCACCCATATAATGCACTTACGGTCCAAAAGAGCGGAACGCGTTTTTGCGGGAAAAGGACGCAAATCATGGACCCTGAAATTCAAAGTCCGGCACGCTAACTACTAAACCACGCCTGGACATTCTCCGGTGTTAATTACGTTTTATTTGGTTTAATATTTATAAAATTATGTGGATTTTTTCAAAGATTGTATTTTAAATATTGATGGTTTTGGTTTTTTGGTGAGAGAGAGTTGTGGTATGTAGATATAATAAATTAAAACTTTTTTTAACATAGTATATAAATACATATAAGTTTTCCAAATTGAAGTTCAAGTTTCTGAGCCCAGTTACAAGTTCTAGTTCAAACTTCAATTTCCTAATCTTTCTCTTATGATCTTATGACACGTCTCATACGTTTGGGGCTTATGGCCAGGGCTCATAGATTCTACACACCTGACTTGATTACTGGATAACTTACTGAGTGGATCTAAGAAGGTTTTACAGAACATCTGTCATATGTAAAGACAGAGAAGTCCACGGCTATTTTGTAAGTGGTTAAATTATAGGTGTTGAGATAGCTGTTCTGACAACTATCGCAAACATCTAACAGAATCTCAGACACATGAGAAAACCTTTAACGCTATCTAAACTAATTCACATCTCAGGTCGCATGCTCTTCTCTTAAAACAAGAGATAGCAAACATGGACAACTTCTAGTAATAAGTTTAAAGTTGCCCTAAAGGAAGAGGCGTCGCTTAAGAATTAAGTTTAAGAATCTAATTTTAATTTGCTAGGCATCGTTAAAATGTTAATTTAAACGTAACATTTATAGGATTAAATTCCAAATTATAGTTTATTCATGCATGAATGATACTTTTGATATGTTTGGTTAATTTTTTCGAGCATTCACGTGTCTAATTAGGATGTTGGGAAACTATGAGTACTGTATATCCTTGATTGCATGATTGAGAAAAATCTATTTATATAGCAATTATTAATATCATTTCAAGATGATCATAAGCAACAAACTAGGTTTCATAAACAAATGTTCCGTTTCAGGGCTATGCATATAATATTTGAAGAAAGCGTTTATAATTTTCAGAGAAAAAGATAGACCACCAAATATCCAATAGCGAGAACTGAGAAATGAGGTTTTCCCAGATACTTGAGAATGTAGAAAATACATTTTGTTAGAGAAGTGATAAAGAACAAGTAAATATAAGTGATAGGCAGAAAAATAATACTTCATAATAATATTATGCTTGAAGAGCAATGTAAAAATTGGGGGAAGATAAACACTTAATCAAAAACCTGAAAATCTGGTAAAATAAGCAACAAGTACAAATACAATAACAGGCTCTGACACAAATCCAGAATACATAGAGTTGAGTAAGTTATATTAAAACAATAACGTATATGAAAATCAAAAATTCATGTGATAACTACAGCTGATATAAATTCGCGGTGGTTTGGTGTTACATACGTAATGTGATGATACCAAAAACTGCTTACTTTTGAGAATAGTATGTAACATCTCTTTCTGATGCAAAATATTTATACATTCAGATCATAAAGATTTGTTCAGATCGGAGATTTAGATTTTCCAAGACGAGCATATCCCTTGTGCTTAAAGTCATTGGAAAACGAAGGAATATGAATCAAATCTGACCAACAGAAAGAGGCCTGCAAGAAGTCTTACCTCAACCGTGGTGAGCAAAGTGCGGTCAATCGCAAAAGCCGCCCACGTGCCCCAGGCAACAGTATACAATATAATCAAGAATGATTTCTGTCTAGAAATGAAACCAATAGGGTGCGGGTTAGCTAAGATATGGCTTCCGGTTGTACATCCCGTTCCACCTTCGCGCATCTAAAACAACTTTAGAATGAAACGGGTATTCATGCTATTCCACATGAAGATATATTGGTAAAGTCGCCGGAGGCAGCGCCTGTGCTATCAGACTGGTGAATATGGAAAAGCCGTCAGACACGACGGACTTTTTTTGCATGGAAGCTATGTGCGGGGATATTTTTAAAATGCAACTTGTCAGAAAAGCAGGACTGAACATGGCGACGTGGCGAAACTTCAAATTAGTATAACATACTGAACCTATGTAGTTCAAAGAACAATGGATAACGAGGACAAAACGAACATATAGAACAGTTTAAAATATGTTTGTTTTGAATTAAGCCCAAAGATACACGAGGGCTTTTTGCGCTAGCCGTCCCTAATTTAGCAGTGTA